TATAATTTAATTTAACTTTTTATTACCCTTTGAACCATGCCTAACTGCTAATTGCACCATTATAAGTTGTAAGTCACTTGGGAAACATGCAGCTCACATTATGCTATCAAATTACATTACCCACAAGCTACTATTTACATTTTAGTTACTTTTATAATAATAAATAAGGAATAAACATGAAAAACAAGAAATAAAGTACTTACCCAATATTCTTTTTTCTTGCTGTTTATTGTCAATGAAACTTAACCTAATTTTTTATACTAATGGTAGTAATACACTAAATAGTTTTTATTTAATTTAATAATGCACCAAAGAATATAAACTAATAACATGCAAAAATTTTTCTGTCTTTTTAACTGTGTAACAAGAGCCACTACAAATTCATCAAAGCTATAGGTTGTATATAATAAAATGCAAGAGAGAACTATCAACAAATCCTGAAAGAGAGGATGTGACAGGTGGGTGTGGCAGGAAGGGTCTGATTTTCTACTTGATAGCTCTGTAACCAAACAAAATTGAAGACAATAAAAATTATGGTTTGTCTGATCAATGATGATTTTATAGTCAGTAATTTACATTAAATTTTGTATTTCTTTGAAGGGGTGATGGATAAAATAGAGAAGATACCTAAAAGAAAATGTGTCGCATGTTTCACACTAGGGGAAATTCAGGATTTTTTTAAATATTACATTATAGAAATAAGAACTTAAAACTTTTATACTATTGAAATATGGATTATTAGCTGAGATTTTATGCTATACTAATTGATATAACATAAACAAAAAGTATTTTAAAATAATTTTGAATGTAAGACACAAAAACCTTGTGTCATGTGCAGTAAAGGATACCCGTGGCGATAGGGTTAACAACAGAGAAAAATGCCTGACTCTACTTGAATCGACCGGACAAACCTTTGAAGGTCTATAACTTTTGTGGGTAGTGAACAAACCTTCAAACATGACCCTAATAACAGTTTTATTTAGTTTTATGTTTAATGAAAAATAGCACGTCTATGTTAAATGATTATTTTTTCATAAGTACTTGTATGCTTATCACTGTATTAGGAATGAAAATGTGTCAAGCAGTGACTGTTTTTTTTTTTATGTTGTGACTAGAAGAATAATTAGACACTGTAACTGGCAATGTTTTGTTTTTCTTAAGAGAAAGGCTGCTCAGCCCTCTATATTTTCTTCAGCTGTAAACCATTTGCTTATGAATAAAATATGTCAAACCAAAGTGTTTATCTAAAATCATAAAACAATTAAAATAAGACATTGTGAAAAGGTGGGCAACATTTCTTCTGATTTTCACTCGGATATGATGACATCTGAGTGAAACAATGGAACATGATCACCTACTTTTGTTTCTTTTTACAGTGTCTTACTTTACCTATTTTATAAGTTTAATGTGTGTATTAGGGACTCTCCAATTATTTGAGTTCATTGTATTTTATTATATGCAAGTAAATTGGTAAGTACTTGTCATGTTTAGTATCTCAATGATTATACAAGTGTTTGCTATAGTTTATTTATTAGTCCAAAATCCTTGTTGTTACCTTTATGGTTGTTTGGTCTGTAGACATTACAGAGAAATTCCTTGAATAAAAATAGTCAACAAAATGACCTTTCTCGACATTAAAATGAGAACAAAACATTGTTGAAATGTTGAACATTTGTTAACGCTGTTCTCGACATTAAAATGAAGACAAAACCTTGTTGAAACAATGAACATTTGTTAATGCAGTTCTGAACATTAAAATGAGGACAAAACCTCATTGAAATGTTGAACATTTGTTAACACAGTTCTCAACATTAAAATGAGGACAAAACCTTGTTGAAACGATGAACATTTGTTACTGCGTTAAACTTGTAGTAAAGTTTTCTTCACTGCTCATTCAAGCTGACTTCAAATTTTATTGCCTCAAAGTGGTTCCTCATCATCAGATTTGATTTCTCAATGCTAATTATGGCTTTAGCTACTGAGATTTTATATTTATTTCTTTAGTAGAGTCCACATGCTTTATACATACGTTTTTGAAGATAGTAAACAATGTACAGAATTTTTATTAAAATTCTTTGACTATCACAAAAATGATCAACAACATAACTTAATGCTCATTATACTTTTAACTTTGAAAAACATTGTTTCTTTTTAATTATTGGTGTGTTTAAATTACAAATAAAAACTCTTTAAATTGTATAAAAATAAGAAAACACTCTTCCTTAGTATTTATTTTGGATTTAATTTTAAAATTCTTTATTGTAATTTTAAATTTTGCTTTGGAAAAATTATCATTCTATTCATTTATAATAAATTCAAATTTAAACTTTTTTATGCAAAATGTGTTTGGGGGGAATTACGGCATCTGTAACCTGTAAGGCATTTGATTGGATGGTTTTAAATAGCTTCAGAAGTTGGTTAGAAATGTTACCAGAAATACTACTGCGGGTAGCAAAATTAAAGAATATTTAGGTTTGAATTGAAAGATTTCTCCTACAGGAACAATGCTATGATTTATGTAATAGAAGTCAGCATGAATGAGATAATGGTATGTCACGTGCCATGAATATGACCTTTCATTATGACTTCATTAAATCAAACTAACTCCAAATTTGAAGAAACAAATATAAAAGTTAATGTGTCAATATCATCGTTTTTAACTAGATATCACTGTATCAACTCTGTTTATACTTTTGTCAAGGCTAAGAGAAGTCCAGTATGTGTCAATATCATCGTTTTTAACTAGATATCACCGTATCAACTCTGTTTATACTTTTATCAAGGCTAAGAGAAGTCCAGTATAGTGAATTAAAGATAGCGTTTTGTACGATTTAATTGTTAAAACAAAAATGGTCAGGCATATTGAAATTTACTTTGTACTTGGTAAATTCTTGCTGGTGATGTTGATAATATCCTTCTTGTCCACTCTTCCTCTATGAACTAAAAGTTTACAAAAAGTGGATAACCAGCTTTAGTTTCAAAAGTTCCCTTCTTTATTTACCCATGGAAAGCTTCTCACTAGAACAGACCTCGACAAATATTTTCAGCTCAAAGAGCCAGCCCAAAAACTTAGGAGCCAGGTATGCCTAACCTAACTTCATTAGTGTTTGTACTGGGAAATGGGGGCTACACTATTGCCTCAATTTTCTACGTCTCCATTATTCATGATCCTCGATTATCCGCAATTTTTTCTTTTCTCCAAATTTTTTCAAGTAATTGTGCCATTACAATTCCAGACAATGATTTACATGTTTTGGAGTAATTGTTGCCTAGAAATTAATGTTGGTTGTAAAAGTTCAGGTTTTGAATTACATCCGAGGTTTTTTGCATGCAGGATCTGGCGCGCGTTCAAATCGTAAGTCGGCCAGTTCAAGCCTAGCCTTGCCGTTTTTATTTTTAGCTGTTAAGACAGGAATACAAAATATTAGTAACTTGGTTAACTTTATTTGATTAGTGATTAAAAACATATTATACAAAAACACACAAAAATACACTTTAAGATTTCTTAAAGATTTCACTCAACTTCAGTTGTTGTCCGCTGTTCTATGTTGCATGGCAGACATCTTTTAACCACAGAGGCATGTTTAGGTTATGTTGGGGTGGCACTAGTGTATCACACTAGTTAGCCCACTGTTGAATGTAAATAAAACTTTTCAAAATATTTAAGTTTCTTGTTTTAAATTATAATATTTTTACTGTTGTTTAATCACATTATCAGGGAAATTATAAAAGTCATTATAATCATAAAAACCAAGTCACGTTTGATTTCTCAGAATTTCATGAGTAACGCGAGTCCAATTCCACTATATCTCCTATAATACTCCCTTTATTTTTGGTTGCCCATTCTCATTTCAGTTGAATTTATTCACTAACATAGGCATAAATGACTTCTAAATTTTAGCACTTTCTCTGCTATAGACATGAAAGTGCATTCCCACCCTTTCAATTCCTGTGAAAATAAGTCAAAAAATTAATGCAAGTCAATCCTTGGGAATTATTACAAAAACGCCTTTGTTAAAACATACTGAAGATACCAATTATCAATAGGGAAGAGGACGAATCCATTATCAGCTGTTTCTGACCAGTGCAGATAATCGAGGCACCCAGTGTATATTTATTTACTTTTACAGCAACAAGTGCATGTTAACGATCACATGATATCAACGACCACTTGATAATATTGCCTGAACTAACTGCCTTTGGTCCCATCTGAGTCTAAACACACATACTGATTGGTTGAATTGAGAGAAAGAAGAAAAACAAATTGGTGCAGTAATGTGTTGTGCAACCACAGTGCTTCATTCCTGAAAAAAACATAGGTGCTGAATCTGTTGTTAAAATCCTAGAAACAAGGTTTGATTTAGTACTCAAAGAATGCAAAAATAGTTCTGGACTTCCGAGAGTCCGGAACTATTCTAGATGCGATTTCTATTTAGCACAGCCCTACACACGATTGAAATGGGAAAACATACTAGGTACCACGGTGAAACTTTTAGTTACCATGGTGATCTGGGATTTGTTGAGGTCTGCACTAGAGGGAGCTATTACAGTTTCTGTTTTTCAATTGTAATGGTAAGTTAGCCTTCAACTAGTTTGGTAGAGTAATGATCATCATTCCACCCCACCCACCCCAATCACCTTATTAAGAAGTTGTTTTTTTAAAGTATACTTTAAATTGCAATTCATAAATGATAAATTGTATATGATATCTATTTTTATTTAGGAAGGAAACTAAAGGTGATAGGTTTGAGAAGTAGCATTAGAACTGTAGCATTGCACTGTTTGTTCGTTTTGATACAGTCTTAACTTATGAAGTGGTGGTGTAACAGTGACTGCCATGGGCTTGTATATTGATCTTGATGTTGTAACACATCGAGATCTAAAAGTACTAAGTTTCTTGTAGGAATATATAATTTGATAAATGTAAAATGAGATGGTTAACATGTCATTTTGTACACATGCAAAGTAAAATACGTGGTTATAATTATTTTTGTTTTCAGGTTCTACTGATAGAGTTCATCCCAAAAATTCCAATTCATCGACCAGACTAGTTGATGGACTTGTGTCCCAGCCGGGAACAAAATATATAGTTGCCTAAAAATAAGTAAATTTATGTGTGTCTTGCCTTGGTTACTGTGTCATATACCTGTACCCTGCACACAGTATCTAGTAATGATGTTTCCTTTGTTTTTGTATTTTGAGAGAGTTGCCTGTGAACTTTACTTTTATTGATTGGTTTATCAATAGTAATCTAAAATTAAAGAAACCTTATTTGAATCCCCTTAGTCTACCAAGTTTCACAAGATTAAAGGGGACCATTGGATAATGGATTAATTTGCTGTCAAAAGACTGGATTTATTGATAAAGAAAGACGCGCGTTTGTTTATTTATTATGCCTGTAATATGTTGATAATAAATGACAGAACTTCGTTGTTTTAAAAATGGCACGATAGAAATGTCTAAAAACAATGAAATGTAGTCTGATTATTAATTGATCAGCTCTTGTTAGCAGAATACAAGTTGAAAAATCAACTAGGTTTTAAATTTTAATAGTTTTATTTCCAATAATTATGTTTCTGTTATTTTTTATGGTGTGTTTTTATTTATTTTTCATTCAAAATGCTTTTAGTGTTCATAAGCTGAAATAAAGTTTTAATAGTGGTGGAGAACAACAACATTGATCTTACAAAAAGAGCCCAAAGTTTGTTATTAAATCTGTATATAACATATTATTGTAATTCACAGTCCATGCTAATGGGTCACTACCTAAACAGTACTAACTTTTATTCAGAATCTACCATTATGTGAGCTCTAAAAACTGTTTTCTCTCCAAACCTAAACTGATTTAAATCATAACTTTTGCTTGTCATTATGTTTTCAGTTAGGAAACATTATTGTTTTTTTGTTTTTTTCACCTTTATCTTATTATCCTGGATTATTTTATTTTAATGAGAAAACTATATTTATGTATATAATTGTTAAAACAGTTTCATGAATATAGTAAGTTAGCTGTTATTATCTTGTTGTTGTTTTTTATTAATTAGAAAACATAGTTCTGCTATTTTATCAAATGTTAAAAGAAAATTTCAGTGTGTCAAAGTTCTTAGAACTTCATTCAACTTGAATTTAACCCATGAATAGTGTGAAACCACAAACAGAACTTAGATTAATTTGAGGAAACAAATTGGGAATATGTAACTGTCAAGAAATATAATTAGTGGTTAAAACCCTAAATATATATTTCCACATTTCTTCAATTTATGTTATTCCTACTAAACTCTTCTTCATAAAGATAACAGCACTAAATGATCCAAGTTTGTATGCTTTAAAAAAGGAAAAGAAAGTGAGGTATGGTCTCGATACATGTTTTATTTTTGTTTCCACCAAGTTTAAGGTAATTTATATTAATCTTTGCCGTTTTTTGTTACATGTGAAATGTTATTTATTGTATAGTTTTTCTACTAAGGTGGTAGATGTTTAACAGCTCAACTACTGATTACTGCTTTAACTAAGGTGACTTGTTATCAAGATAGCCATGTCATGATGAAATTACTACTGATCAAAAACATGCTTCTCATTTCTTTTAGAATTAGTTTCATAATTCACTTTCAACACTTTTCCCTGCCAAGTTTATAGATAAACAACACTTTCCCTGCTAAGTTTAGAGATAAACAACTCTTTCCCTACCAAGTTTATAGATAAACAACTCTTTCCCTGCCAAGTTTATAAACAACATTTTCCCTGCCAAGTTTAGAGATAAACAACATTTTCCCTGTCAAGTTCAGAGATAAACAACAGTTTCCCTGCCAAGTTTAGAGATAAACAACAGTTTCCCTGCCAAGTTTAGAGATAAACAACACTTTCCCTGCCAAGTTTAGAGATAAACAACTCTTTCCCTGTCAAGTGTATAGATAAACAACACTTTCCCTGCCAAGTTTAGAGATAAACAACACTTTCCCTGTCAAGTGTATAGATAAACAACTCTTTCCCTGCCAAGTGTATAGATAAACAACTCTTTCCCTGCCAAGTTTATAGATAAACAACATTTTCCCTGCTAAATGTATAGATAAACAACTCTTTCCCTGCCAAGTTTAGAGATAAACAACACTTTCCCTGCCAAGTTTAGAGATAAACAACACTTTCCCTGTCAAGTGTATAGATAAACAACTCTTTCCCTGCCAAGTTTATAGATAAACAACATTTTCCCTGCCAAGTTTATAGATAAACAACACTTTCCCTGTCAAGTTTATAGATAAACAACACTTTCCCTGTCAAGTGTATAGATAAACAACTCTTTCCCTGTCAAGTGTATAGATAAACAACTCTTTCCCTGTCAAGTGTATAGATAAACAACATTTTCCCTGTCAAGTTCAGAGATAAACAACAGTTTCCCTGC